TATCGAACCTTATTTCTTAAAATTAGGATATGCATACAATTTAGTTTATTAGCAAAATTCATTTTAATTTGTAATACTTGTGATAGGAAAGCACATAAATAGGTTTTTACTCAGGAATGAAAGTAGAAATTTTGTGCTTTGATTTATGAATATCTTAAGAGAATATCTTGTTCAACACATCTTAAGCTTAACTTCTCGTTCACGCTTAAAAATATGTCATTTGACTTTTTTTGATTTTTTTTTGATTTTTCACTCAATATTTTAATTATAATTGCATGCAATGTACATTTTTTTATATTTTCGTTAGCATAGAGCAGGGGTACTCAACCTTTTTTTCTGCTGAGCCGCATATATATGTCAACTATTTCAGGCGTGCCGCATACATTTGTTAGTTACTTCACGCTGACCGCAACATGAGCATGAATGGGGGACGGAGGGGTAGAAATGATTTATATACAAGACCAAGATAACAATAGAAATTTAAAATGTGGAAAATATTGATCAAAATATTATAACTTGTGTATTTTGCTTTTTTTAATTATTATTTTTTATAATTTTTATTTTTGTCACCAACACTCAATTAGAAGCATTTAAGAAACCCTCCTGCACAATTTCTGCATCAATAAACGGTTTCATATGATTATCAATAATATAAAAAACTTCATTGGATGTCTTTGCTACCGCTGGGATATTACCACTGACAAAACACTTTGTTGCAGTAGCAAAGATTATTCACACAAGAAAAAAAAAGCCTATTAATTATCTCTTGAAAGAGATCTTCGAGGAAAAGTGTCATTGAATGATTCCTGTTTATTGGTATTTTTTAAATACATCACTTTCGTGACAAATCAAACACAATTACTGATAACCGTAAGCGTTCCAAATCGAAAAAGAATATCAATTCGTACCCGTACGACACCAACAACAAAAAGCAAAAATGATATATTTGATTTCTCGACAAAGAATTCTCCACCAAGATTTTAATACAATGTTCTGAAATAAGAAAATTTCTCACAGCACTGACCGGATTACTTAAAAAGGCTCGGTCGGCCACAGGTTGAATATTGCTAGTATAGAGTATATTTAAGGTATCCGACTACGTTCGAGACCGTGATTTTGAAAAAGTGCATAAATGGATAATTTTCACGATACTTAGTGTCACTCAGATTAGAATACATGCATAAAATTGGTCATTAAGGTCATTTTGACAAAAAGTTTTATTTAAATACAATATTTTGGCTAAAAATTAACTTTCCAAATGTTCTGATTTTGTGAAAAATGGTTCTATTATAATAATATTTTGCATGTATGTAGCTCAGACCTCTCTACAGAGGCTCAAATAGATTTTTTGAAAAATTTGCATTATTTTCAGTTACAACCAATTGAAATAATTATCGGTGTTTTTTTTCTTAAAATTTCACCCCTCTGTTGTCGTAAAACATGGATAAACCCACTTCTAAGTTATATAATTCAAAAATTCTAGTTGATCCTCTGTAGAGAGGTTTGAGCTATATACAGGCAAAATATTATTATAATAGAACCATTTTTCACAAAATGAGAACATTTGGAAAAAAGATTATTCTAAGTGCATTTTTTGCCAAATATTGTATTTAAATAATTTTTTTTGTCAAAATCTCCTTAAAACAATTTTATGCATATATTCTAATCTGAGTGACACTAAACATCATGAAAATTATCCATTTATGCGCTTTTGAAAAATCCCGGTTCCGAACGTAGTCGGATACCTTAATGAATTTTTACAAATTCCTCAAATAATTCCTAGATTTTAATGCTATGTTTGATCTAAAACATATGCATTTTAACGCGACAAATTTTCAGCTTAGATAGAAAGGGTTAATTATGATTGGAATCATGTCTCTACATATGGTTCTAATTTACCCTTATTTATGTCGCCCTGTAGAACAATGCTAAGGTTATTGGTGGTGGATCTTGTAATTTTGAACCATGGTAAACTGATAAGGACGACACCATATCATGAGACGTTGCACTTTTCTACATATCTTAAAAAGGACTGGTCAAAACTAAAGTCTGTATTTTTTACGGCATTATCTTGATTAAATACAATAGTCAAACTACAATGTCCGTCGTGTTAAATCAGTCCCAGGGGGCTATCTCTTCTTATTACGCCAGACCAGGCCCCGTGGTTGATCTCTCGCCGAAGGAATTCAATTTCCTTCACCCCAAAATAGTTCAGCGCCTCCCGCTTCCAAAAACAAGGGACTTTCTCTCTTTCCTGACAGTACTCTTCGGGATCAAAAAACCCACTCCTCAAAACACAGTACCCCTTTCCCTTCAGGTGGGGGACCATCGCCAACTCTTAAAGAATCTATCGCCAAACAGTAGTCAGACACTACAACGCTGCCCATTAATGTAATCTTTTTTGAATTTATATAATTAATGTATTGTTACGCGAGTTGAACAAAATATTGTTTTTATGCGCATATATTTTATACAGATGACGTTCCCACTTCTACGAAGCTCAGTTCATTAAGTACAATCAATATCAAGTTTATCAGTATAAGTAATATCTAAACCTAAACTCAGTGGTACAACCGCACATTGAAAGGCAGAGGCCTACTATGCCCATCTCAGTTTTCATGATCTTGAGCGCTGAGGTGCATAAGCAGATGTCCCGGTCAAGTGGTTACTCTGACACGAAAGCATCCAGTATTTAGCTCCCAAGCAAGCTTTGTACTCAGTTATCCACCCACTGAAGGGATGAAAGACTAAGTAGACCTTGTCTAGACCGGGGTCTGAACCCGGATCTGCGGCGTGGAAACGCTATACCACACAACCACTGCGCATCACACAAGTAATATCTATCAATTTATAAATTATTTTTATTGTACTATATTACTTGTTTTGGCTTAAAAGTACTGCGTTCTTTGATTTAAGTTGAAAAAAAGAGTGGAAAATTAAAAATAGGACAATTTTTTAGGGTACCAAAACACAAACCTTAAAAAAACCCAAAATTTTCATATTTAGTTTCAAGAAATAAAAAAAGCGCATTTTTCCAATTCCAAACATATATATCCCTTATATGTTCTTTAATAAAATACTCCCAAACTGTATGAAATAAAGCTGCACAAATGTAATATATATTGTATGAAAATCTTAATTTCGCATTTATATACAGTTTTGAAAAAAGGATTCCACTATGTGCTTCGAAATTTCTTATATTTATCAACAGATACATGTCCATATATTGTTCCAAAAAATGCTCTAATTTTAGCTTAATTTATTTTAAAATAGTTTTTATAGAAAGAAGAATTATATTAAGATTATTAGATTTTACTAAAAAACTTGTTTTGCAATATTTCGTGTATTATTTTATACATTTAAAACATACTGTTTTTAAGAAATGGTACTTCAACCAAAATATGTACTACAGGATAGCAAAAAAATTATGCCGATTTTCAACTAAAAAGAAAACTTTTGAACAAGAAAATTATCGTTGTAGAAAAATATAAAAACATTATTATGTATACAGTCAACCAGAGAAAATCTGTATATATAAGCTCAGAAATAATAAAGGATATCACGAAAAATAAGGAGTCTAAATTTTGGTATTTCTCTTTGGAGCGTGTCTTAGTACCTTTAAGTGGAGTACCTATAATTTATATTATTTGTGCCATAATATTTGTACGCAAAAAAGTGTATTATTATTTTATTGGATTAAAAATTCTATTTCAATATTTATGCTATATTTCATTTGAGTAATAGCATTTTATGAATAGAAAGATTTTCAATATTTTTTAATGACTACGATTTGCCAATAGCAAAAATATAATAAATATAATAGTGGAAGCAAAAAGAATCCAGGCTGAATTCGTTGGTGTTTTATGACAGTGATAGATAACAATGTTGCCTTTTTATTTAGAATTTATGTATTACTATATTTCTCAATTTCTATCAAACTGACACCAGAAATAATGTAAGAAAATTCTTTTTTTATTTAAAATGCTGACATTTTCTAAATTTATTTTTTAAGAACATTTCTTTTATAAGACATATATATATGCTTGCTATTCTTTTCTTAATTCAAAAATGCGAGTTATTATAAATAAGAAAAAAGTATTTTCAAAAATGGAAATAAAAGACTCAAGCCATGCAAAATATAGAAATGAGATTATTTTCGCTTTTTTTTTCAAAAAATAAATTAAATACGCAAACTAACACTAGCTTCTGATATATGTGTATCTCAAAATATATTCATGTATGCAAAAAAGCAAAACAAATACTTCCTTCAAAAAATGTAACAAAAAAATTTGCGTGATAAAGAAAAAAGAGATGCTATTTCTTGGTGTTGATTACCGAAAGAAATCTTTTGAATTTCCTATTGCCAGATAGAAAAGAACAATAGTAAAAAATACTTCATTACATGTAAAATGATTTTATTTCATAAATTAAGCAGCTTTTAAATTGTATGTTGTTTTTCATTTTTACGTGGAATATATCTTTGTGGCGATTGATTCTTGAAAATGTGTAACCATTTGTTCTAATAATCAGTACGGAAAACTCAACTTCATTCAGCGCTTGACCTTCTGAAATAATTCAGATAAAATAAGTTTCAGTTTGAATTTAAATACGAATTTGATAAACTAAATTATTTAAATGAAGTTAAAGTGAAAAGAATTCTGTAAAATATGGCGATATTCTTTTATATTTTTTAACTACACTTCTTTTTCTTTCTTTTTTAGAAACAAGTAATATAAAAAATATTAAAGTCAATTCCTACTGAGGTCAACAAAGAAAATTTTCATTTTAGTTACTTTTTATTAAATAATTACAATTAATGTAAACATGTATATACATATAACAGAATCAAAGAATGTAAGAATGCATATACATATGACAGAATCAAAGAATGTATAATACATATGATATAAAACCAAATTCCTTTCTATATACGGCGTCGGATTAATATGTTTGTCCGTTACTATTTGTTCATTCATAAATCACATTCTCATAAATTAGGAAATCCCAGGTAGGATTCGTACCTACAACCTTTAGATTAGAGGTCCAACGTGCTATCCATTGCACAACAAGGACAAGCGAGCGATTTGCATATCATACTTTAAGGTTCAAAATATTTTTATATTAACTTTTGCATGTACTTATAAATAATAACCCATAATAATGAATGAGAATAACTTTAAAGAACATAAAAAATAAGTTGATAATAGTACTTTGGTTTGGTTTCAATATTTATATGAGGAAAAGAATATAGTGGCACAAAGTAAAAATTGCTCTAGTGTTATTAAAATGAGTGGAGGAAGTACAAACGGGGACTCCATACACTAGTGTATCACAGACTGAATAGCGATATTTACACTTTTTTGTGAATAAATAAATAAGATGTTCCTTTACTTTTTATGTGTGTGTTCTTTATACACTATTATAATTTATGAGTTACAAATTATTTTTTGTGATATTTACACTCCCTAATAAAACTGGCAAATATAAGACAAAGAAACACCTGCGTTTTCGGGCTTTTCCTAAAATTTCTAATACCGGCATCCCAGTATTAAGATCTAAAAAATACCGAATACCGGTATTGAACTTTTGGTCCGATACTACAATCCCTATCTACAATGTATTTCAGAAATATTGCTATGTATTATAAAAAAAAATTTTTTTAAAAGCTAAAAATGTTTATTTTCTGTAATATCTTGAAAATGCCACTATGAATTTTTTCCCTTGATGTATCATAATAAAACTACGAAAACATAGCATATATTAATAAAGTGGCAGTAAGTTGCTTTTGTTCAATGATTCATCGTGTGATCGAAGCTTTTTTTTCAATGTATCTTTAGTTAAGTTGTATTTTTAAAAAATGGTTTTAGTATTTATATGTCCATTATTTTTTCAATAGGATTCCGCTAAGTATTATAAACAGAAACGGGGAAGGTTGGCTAGCCGTAAAACTGGTTAAACCTCACTTTTAAATTAAATTAAAAGCTGTCCTCAGTCAGCACTAATCATAATACTGCAATTCCCATCTTTTTATAGGTTACCAATATCCATATTTATTTTATCTCTTTCGTTTTCAATTCATTTATGTCTCTCGAGTAATAATTATTAAAATATTATAAATGAAGTATAAAAACCTTTCACTCCCTCATCACGAGATCTCGGTAGCTTTAGATCTACAGACTTTAAATTAGGAAGACTGGTTTTTTTGTTGAGTAGAGATAAGTACCGATTTTGCATAATTCTACTCCCAAGGGGGTTACAGTTTTTGTAAACTATTTAACCTACCGAAGCATGTCTCTATTGATGGATAAAGATAAGCCAAGAAGGAGAAATCGACTTCCAAGAAGGTCTGCAAGGAGCTTAGGAGGCATAAGATAAAAATTCAAGTTTTCCAACTGTTGGTCTGACAGCAGTGCTTCTCAAACTTTCGTTACTTGCGACTCAATTTACAATCACTATTTTCATTGCGCCCCGCCTCCCGTCCCTCCATACAATAAAAATGCATTGAATTGAATGATAATAATAGTCTTTGACGTAAGGCTACAATACGACTTTAATTATAAACTGTAAAAATTATCAAGATATGGTATTCAATTTTACATATAATTGCATGACATGTCTATAGGGTCATCGGTAATTATTAAACTTGTTCTTAACAGTACTGTTAATTTAATTATGAAACACATTGTGCAGTGCTGATACATTTATGAGCATATTATATCAGTATAAATGCGTATTTTATTTTTATTATGTCAGAATGTATTTTGTTTTGCTTCTTTTCAGTAAATTAATATTTTTTTAAATAATCTTTTGTTTTTGACTTTTCAAAAAAATGCTCGTGTCCCCTTGTAGGATTATCACCCACCCCCAAGAGGGAAGCACATCCACATTTTGAGAAACAGACTCGAAATGTGTTAAGCATTTTTCTTTTGTTTTGTAGCGGTACGTGAAGAATGAAATTTGAGGAAATAAAGTCCGGAGGGGAGGTGTTATGAACACGTTGGAGACATTTCTACTTCCGTTAAGGAATTCAAAACCTTTCTTTTTTTTTTAAATCTAATTAGATCAAGAATGTTTTTCAATACAATAGAAAGATTTCTGATGTATAGGGCAATAGTTTTTAAACAATATATAGTTATTTCAACATCATGAATTGCCCACATAAGCTGTAACATATACTAGCTTCAGAAGTAAACTGTTTCATAGAATATTTTTACGAAATCATTTACACTTTTAAGATAGATACCAAAGTCTGTCATTTTTAACCAATGCCTATCAATTTATTTTGCCAACCAGTGTGTGAATTGCAAATGAAAATGAATTACAAATGAATTTAAATGAAATTGAAAATGAGTTATATAGCAAACGCATACTTTTTAAATGAGATATATATCTTTCGAATATTTAGATAGAATATCGAAACTCAACATTTCTTTAAACATTTTCTAACTTACATTCTAAAATCCAGACTTGCAGATGAATATCCATTAAACTATTTCTCAAATATGAATATACTGAATGACAAACGCCTCTCGAGCTAAACTTATTAATTTTACGCATATTTCTCAAATCTTTACCGACGCATTGATCAATATCTTTTAACAGCTAAAACCTACATTTCGAAATGAAATTATAAGTGCATCTTTTCCATCTATAATTTAAATTAATATTATTTGACTTCCCAAATTCAATTTCCAACTCGATCGCATCTAAATGAATTTTATTACATACCAAAACACTATTGTTGCCAATAATTTGAAATGAAAACTTATATCTTATGTTCCGCATGAGAAAGCGAACTCTTTTGCAATTATAGGCTTCGAAATTAGATCTAGAGAGTAACAATATACCTCTTCTTCGTAATATAGGAAACCTGTTTACAGGATATTCCGAAAACGTGAGTAATATTATATCAGCATTTTCACAGTTGGTGTTCACATAATATTTATTAATCAGTTCTCTCTCCGATTTATAAAGCGAGGATTGAATTTCAGAAATATTTACATTTATTTTGCAATTTCTCCATAACAGGCTATTAGACAACTGAAGTGAAAATAAGGGCAATTTTTAGTAGTTATAAGCTCTATTCACCAAATCCAAGTTTGGATTTTCATAACAGATTGTTTATTACCTCAAATTTTCTCACATTCCATCTATGTCTGTTAAGGGGACTTCTTTATTTACGTATTTAAAAATTATATTTTAACATTTTATACAATGTTTCTATTCAAGAAAATGTTACCAGATGAAAATTTTCATATATTATTTACACAATTTTAAAAATTTAAATTTTTTGAAGAAAATTGGAAAAATTTTAAAATCCTACTCCTTTTGTAAAAAGTAATTTTTTGATCTGAAATTTTTTTATAATATTCTTATGGATGTTCTTAACAACTTTAGGGTTCGATTTTAGAAAAACTTCATTCGTTTTCGAGAAAAAAAATAAAATGTTGATATACAGGCTAAAAATCAACGAAAAAGCCAACATGTCTTACATTTTATTTTTTTTTAAAAAAAGGATTCAGTTTATAGCAAAACGGATCCCTAATTTTATTACATGCTTTATTTTTAACACGCAGGAAAAAAATTGAAATTGGTAAATAAATTTCGAAGAAGTAGCATTTTGAATGCACTAAGGTTCGATTGATTGATTGATTGATTGATTTAATATTAACGTCGCAATGTTCGCTACAGAACGGACCACGTAATTTTGAACCATGGTCAAGTGACGTGAGTCGCCCCCTCTCCTACTACCACACCAACGGTTTCGAAAAACACAAACTGGGCTCGAACTCGAAAAACCACTTTAAAGTTTATAATTTCTGAAAAAACAATTATTATAATATTAATTAAACTTAAAATACCACTTTAAGATATAAGTTTTTCTTTAAAATAATTGCATTTTCATATTTTTCAACCCACACATTTTTATAAATGATCAACTTTTAGAGAGTACTAATTGCAAATGAAAATTCAAGAAAAATGTTAAAAAAAATTTCTGTCACGACAGAAATTTTAGCTGTTTTTTTTTCTTATAATATTAAAGTATTACATTTGTATGAAAAATATATCAGGAATAAGAACTGAAATTATAAAAATTATTAATATAAAATGCCTTAATTTAAAAATTTTACATACACACATTTCACAAGGAAGAAAAATTACATTATTGTATTGCCCTCGGAAATATTCCTGCTTTTAATACTACACATTCTTTTTTATAGTTATTATTTCTATTTCTAAAATAGATTTTTTTTTTTTTTTTATCATAAAGCATTTTTAGCTTTTTTTTTCTAAAATGGGGGTGTGTGGCTGAATTGCCTAATTTGTTTTCAAATGAAGTTTTATTCAACTTCTAACTTTCCGACATGCACAAGTGATATATCAATCGAAAGATAATAATGCAAAGAATAAGATTAAATGAAAATAAAAAAACGATAGGTTTGTGATTTTTAGGGTACCAAGTCTCCCTAAATTCATGATGCATTTTTTAATCTAGTGTTTCTCAAACTTTCAATATTTACAACCCAATATTCAATCATAATTTTCATCGCACCCCTCCATACAATAACAATGTATTGAATTCAATTATAGTATACTTTGATGCTAAAGCTACAATACGACTTTATCCTCTTAATTGCCACTTGCGTAATTGCCACTTGCGTGTATATATATATATATGTCTCACTCAGCCAAAGCGTTGTTTTCCACGGCCGTATATATACGTCTTTCCAAAGTACGGTCTTATTTGTGTGCTATACTATCCATAAAAATATTCCGAAGCCTATGGAATGCATTAAAAGGACATTGACAGGAAGGAATTAATTGAATGTTTTTATGTGTATAAGAGCATCAGTATTAAGGAAATTAATACACACTTCCAAAGTTTTTTTCAAACTTTTTGTGTTATCGCATTATAAAGCAACACGAGGAGTATTGCCAATGGACCTCGTCAAGAGATGAGGAGGAGATTTGAGCTAGTACAGCCCCTCTCCAAATTACCCCACCACGCTAATGAGAGGACTTTGAGCTTCGACAAATTTAACCTGCCTCAAACCCTCTAAATCAGAGGTACT